GCTGCGGTGTTTGCGCCTACATAGTTTCGCTTCTATTAGCCATTTCCTCCATATCATCTGACTTGCGTGTGGCGAAGAAAAAGAAAGGAACGGGGAAATCGAAGGTCTCGTGGGAGTTTTGGATTCGGGGGGCACTGGGCAAAGGGCCAGGGGGAGGGGGAACGATTGCGTACCATTGTGATTGCTGTTGCGGTTGTTCGATGGGGTGAGGCCGGTGTGATGCTAGAACAAGAGACGTGGGGAAAGTGTAGCGAAGCAGAGAGGGTGGGAGAGAGAAGGAGGAGTGAAAGAGGCTGTGGGCGGCAATTCCAGGGTCCAAGAGGGTGTCGGGTTGTGCAAGGTGTTCGGTTTGGAATGAGACCCATGCACGGACCGCGTTCCCGCCGCCGGCGCTAGGACGTGGCAGGGTTGCGGCGTCGTGGTTCGCGTATTGCGGAGATGGAGCGCGGAGGTTTACTCTTTGTGATTTTCGTTCAGGCACGGTAACGACAGCTTTGCAACCCACTTCTACATCGAGCCGCTATAGCGCAAGAGTACGCATCGCATAATCGATATATACTGCATCTTCGCAAGATATCCCTGACTTCTTTTTTCCCTGCATCTCCCTTGCCGGTTTCCTGGGTCCCATCCACTTCCTCCATAGAGCGTGCGAAGCGGGGGAATCTCAACACAGGACACAAGCAGCGCAATGAACAACGCTCGAGCAACACGGTCGCTATGGAGGCGAGCGACGATACAGACAAGACCAGGTGTACGAATTTCGCGAAGAAACCTCGCAACTGAGACACAACCTCCGCCGCCACCGCCGCCACGCAAAGAGCCATCACGAGTAGTACGTCATAATCCTCCATTTCGCAGTTTGGCCAAACCGACCAACATCACCATCACCACCTCCCCCTTCCTCCCTTCACTTTTGTGTACTAACGAAGCGCAAATAGGGTGCATACTACGGCACCTTTGGCTCCCCAATCCTCAAATGCTTCCTCGGCGCCCTATTCACATACCAACTCGCCTACTACCTCTGGTACAAGCTCGAAACCATCGAAGAACGGCACGAAACGCGCTTGGAAATTGCTGAGCTTCAGCAAGAACTAAAGCAAGCGCTTGAGAAACAGAGCCAGGCGGCTCAGGAAAAATGGGATAGGGCGGCGGAGGTGTTACAGAGGGAGAAACATGAGTTGGGGGAGGCGGTGGACGCCGTGGTTGAGGAAGTGAAGGAGGGGGCGGATGAGGTGGGGAAGGGGACTAGGGCGGTGGGGAAGGTTGCGGGTGGTGGGTGGTGGCCTTGGTAATGGGGTGATGATGGGGTGATGTTGGCGTGTGGAGAGGTGAATGGATGTGTAGTATCATTAGGATGCGGAATTGATTCATGGGCGATACCCTTCCTTCTCTGCAACAACAACCTTTTGTTGTGTTGTACATGGACATATTATTGGGATTTCTTGCCAACTTTCTTTGTCCTCGAGCTCTCTTCATTTGTGTCGACGCTCTTTTGAATACTCTGTTCTTGCTCTCATTTCAATCTTTTTCTCTTTCTTCATTCTTGCGTCGTCCTCTTTCATGCAAACGCCGTCTCCGCTGCTTCAATCTTTGTCGTAGCATTGCTGACTTGATTGTATGCAGCTATTTTCACGTACTCAACAAGGGCAGCAGCTTTGGGTACTCTCTGGTACGTAACGGCAAAACAGGGTTTCTGCATGTCGCTGCTTGACGCTTCAAAAATCCAGGACAAGTGTGGCGCTCCGAACATGGTACACAACGGTGTCGGCGATCAAGTATCAGGATATTTTCGTATCTCTCCAGACACGAAAGGTTTCAGCCAAAGAACTCGCCCGATACTAGTGACTCCCATGGCTTTCCGGTATCCCACACACGCTTCATGAGCGTGCTCATTTTTGGCACCTAGCCATTAACGTCAGTACGACCAAACCCGATGTGTATCCGGGAACTACTTACTTGATTAAGTCCAAAACCCTCCACTCCCCTCAGCCGATCCATGATTTTCTCTTTCTGCCCATCATCCTGTGCATCGCAGCCCGCAACAAACATGGGAAATAGCGAACAAGATTCTGCCGAACTGCCCCTCCTGATTTTGAACAATAACTCCACAATCGCCCGAACCGCATACTGCACCTCTGGATCCAATGCGGATTTACCCAGCACACGGCGATGCAATTGGATCAGACTAGCCCAATGGAAAAGTTCGTTGGTCGCATAAATCTCTGTTGTATCCCACGCTCGTTCAGACTCGGACGAGTCGTTTGATCCATGGCGACATGTTTTCCGAATGTTCCGATCTGACAGCCCATCTTCCAGTGTGCGTCGAATGCTGATCGCTTCCTCCACGATATCCTGGCTCGGTACCCAATCTTCGCGCACATTGCCGTGTTCATCAATACGCTGCGGTTCGCAGTATTTGGACAGTTCGGCAATACGCGCCAGACTGCCAATGCAACGGTTTGTAAAACCCATCAGGCAGTCGATTTCAAGGTCCTCGTCTGCGGATTCATTTTCGCTCGACCAGTAGAAAGATCCAACTGGCGTGTCGTTCTTGTGTCCACTCAGCGAGCCTACGACATCGAGATAGGCGAACCAGCGCGAGAGAAAGTAAGACACAAGATCTTTTCGGCTCATCCCCCTGGGTCCACCGCGCTGGGTAATCATCCGGCGCGCCATAGTGAGGTGGTCCTTCCAGGATATAGGTACTTCAAATGTACCTGGGGAAATAACTTCCAAGCTCGCCATCATGATGACTGACGCCAGAGTGTTATCAGGAACTTCATCTGGGTTTTCTTGAAGCGTCCGTCGCAGTCTGGGGAATACGTCTTGTACCCAGACTGCGATGCGATTTGAAGGCTCGGGATGGTTGAGCATGTGCGCCCGATGCGAAGCACTGTAAGCGAGAAGAAGACTCAAAAGGTTTTCATCCTTGACGGCCACTGGAAAACATCAGCACGTTTGTTCATCATGTCCGTGGATACTCACTTTGGGGTAGTATATGTCGGAATGGATTCCTTTCGCAATCATGTGGGACCAAAACCCTAGCTGTGTGATTAAGGAAGTGGTGAAAATAGATCAAGTTCATTTGGTTCTCCATGAGGAGAGCCGGCAGGGGCTCCAGCGACTTGGAGATCCTAATGGGTACAGGTTTTGCGTAGTATCCTCCTTTCTCAAACGCCATGACTTTGCTATCGGATTCCGTGCTGCCGTACATAGTTTCCCCATCGAAACTGACGGTGTTGTTTTGCGGGCTGTATATGGCAATAGCCGATGAGTCATTGTTCTTCGGGGTGTCCAGGTCTGGGAGACCCAGGTCGTAGCCGTATGTCGTCGAGGCTGAATCAGTAATTGGATACTGTGTTCCAATTCCGGCCTGATTAGTGTTTTGAATATCGTGGACGAGGGATTGCACAGATACACGACACGGGTTTGGTGGTGAGAGACCAGAGTCTTGTGGTGCAGATGCTGCGTGTGGGATAACTCCTTCAGAACCGACTGATGCCGGTGTTTGAGGAAAGGTACGATACGGGCTATGCGGAGTTGGCGAAGCTGTGTTTGGCGAATACGAGTCTGAGTATGTCGGTCCAGGTGATCTGCTAAATGCCCTATATCTCTGGTATCTGAACATGACATCTGCAGGCATTTGCTGAGGCGGTGTTGTAGTATTCGTGGGGGTGAGGACCGAAGTATTAGTATTGAACGTGCCGAAACCAGACGTTGTAGACGATTCACCATCAAAAGTGTTTTGAAAAAGTGATTGTGTTTGTGATGCTGATGAGGGTATATCGCTCTGAAAAAAACAGCTGCCTTCAGTCGAACCTACACTGGTGACACTAGGGAGCATGGCCTGCATCGTGATTGGGTCAATATCCTAAGTAGTTATTGGAGGGGGCGATGATCAAAGGGGACCTTACATGCTGCAACTGCATTGGTGATTCAGATGTTGACATGAAGATCCGCGAAGTATCTTCGACTTGAAAACTTGCTTCATATGGGCTGCCCTCAGTGGCACTCGACGCGTCGAAACAGGGGTCGGTTTTGTCCCTTCTTGCACGACCTCCCCAGGTGAGTCGGATACTGTAGTCGCATGCTTCACCTTGTCGTTCACAATTTATACATGATGGCTTTTCTTCTCCACTGAGGCGAGGTTACTGTCGCTTTCTGATGGACAGTGGTTAGACAGCTACTTACCATTTTACTTTTCGAGCCTTGCATGGCCTACGCACGATTAGTGTGGATGCGCGTGTACCCGGGAGTTCATGGAATTACCAGCAGCCGTTACGGGATCTCCTTTTCGGCTCGACGCCTGGTTTCTTTGGGCGAGGCATCGTGTCCGCGGATCACCTTGCTGGACGTGGGCCGGACAAAGAAAGCAAAAACACTGCAAGTGACGTCCGTATGTAGTAGAATGCTAGGTGTTTGCTATGCGCGTGACACAAAAGAGGGCTAGTATGGGTGGCAGTCTCTACAGTCCAAGGCGCTGGTCGAATAGTGGCGAGCGTTAGATGCACCAAGCTTCCGAATTCGGCATGCGACTGCTAGGCTGGCTGCACAAATCGTGTGAAATCGGCGACTAAGGCTGATCGTTGCATGGTTAACGCGAAGAAATCATTTGCACGTCCAACTGCTCGTTTTGTGCGACATTACAACGGTTTGCACTGCATTCGTCGCGACGATGGGCAAAAGATTGGAGATGAGGAACGAAAAGGTCCCCCCCGCACTTCGCGCTATGCGCCAATCACAACGCCCGACGTTCCATCCATCTGGTGCGGCGGGTCTGACAGTCTGACACCGCCTCTCGTCGCAGCCGGTGGAGCATGCAAGGACAACCCAGACTACATTCGATAACCGGAAACTCTATTCTCGCGCTTATGCGGACCAAGAAACAGTATTTCAGGTACCTACCGCTTTCTACACCTACTACTCTCTATTCCAGAAATTCATGCTAATTATAGAACATGGGCGAATATCACATTACCAGGCACAGAAACTATTGGTACAGTTGAAAATGCATCCATTCATTAACCATGCTACATACAGCCTTAATACTGCCAGCCTAGACCAGTGTTTGCGCTGAAAGACATTACTACCATAATCTGACACTACATAGTACCTGGCTAGACCCTAACTAGCAGACACCATCTCCTGGTCGCAAAGGAACGTCAAAGTCGTGATTCGTTACTGAAACGCCATGTGCCGAGGGTGAAAAGAGTACGTGTTCGCAAGAATCCGGAAGATGCCGCGTCACCTACTCGATGTTGATCTTGCGAGGCTGGGGAGCCTGAGCCTTGGGGACGACAATGCTCAGGATGCCGTTCTTGAGGCTGGCCTTGACATTATCCTGGTCAACACGGGCTGGGAAGGCGAAAGAGCGGTGGAACTCGCCAACAGAGCGCTCGCTGACCCAGTACTTGGCTTGCGTGTCGTCGTGCTTGGTGACTCCCTTTTCCTGTGACTGCTTGGCAACCTTGTTGTTCGACTCGGATGGATCGTCCTCGACCTTGGGCTGGTGGCCGAGCTTCTTCTGGTCCGGCTTTTCGCCGCTCTCAATGAAGCCCTGTGGGCGCTGACCTTCCTCGCGGACGTGCTCGTGGCGGCCGGAAATGGTTAGCGTGTTGTTGTCGGTCCACTCAATGTTGACGTCCTTTTGCTCAACACCGGGAAGCTCGCCGTGAAGTTCGTAGGCGTCCTTGGTCTCCTTGACATCGAACTTGGGGGTGAAGGACCGCACGCTCTCGAATTGGCGGTCGAGGTTGCGGAAAGCCTGACGGTCGTACTCGTCAAAGAGACGGAACATGGGAGCAAACTCCTGAGTAAACCTTGGGAAGAGAGACATGGTTGCTGGCGTGTTTGAAAAGTGTCGAACGGTTGTAGGCTTTGAGATGCGGTTGAGGTGTCGTGGAATTCGTGAGATTGTTGAGCGCAGTGATTGCATAAGAGACTTGTTGTGACTTGTTTCTGATGTCGAGCTATGGGAGCGGATTCACGGGGCCTTTATACCTGAAAGACGGCTTCGTCGAAAAATCGAGACCGCCCCAGCGCAAGGTTGCGAGAAGCATCGGAGATGGTTCAGGGCGTTTCTAGTGGTTTCGAGCATCGTGTTTGCCGTCATGAAGACGTAACTCCATCACACCACATGGGCACATGTGGCAGGCGCGATGTCTTGGAGAGAGGAGAGACTGTGCTGTGTGTCTCCTCTAACCCCGCCCGCAGAAGGGACGCGCACCCACTCGAAACTTCCAACATCAGCCCATGTCACGTGACCGGGCCACGCCAACACTCGGGCAGGGATGAGCCAGCATTGCTGCATTTCTGGCCAAACACCACATCACCAGATCCCCAGAGGAGCACATACTGGTGCGTGGGCAGTAGTAGTCCATGGCCATCCTCCTGCGTGATGCTCCATTGTCCCCATGCTTGGCGCCTTGTTGCTCTCGTTGCTGCCATAGCGCCCATCTTCCTCGGCCAGACATCCCGGAATCAATACATCTTGCTGCCACTGCTACCTGTGGATATCCCGAATACCCGGCTCTGACCACGACTCCAGTTGATTCCTTCCGCGGCGCAGCAGATACTCAATGGTGCCAAAATCCTTCTTGCCAACATCCCGGTGTTTGTGGAACTGTGATCTGCACTCGACGTCAGTCACCAATTCGTGGATGCTTCATTTGACACATAGTCCCCCACCTGGCAAAGTCACGAAAGTTGGCCTGCGTTTCCTGCGTCTGCGTTAGGAGGGTGTATGTGTAGTACTGTGTACACCACGCAGCTGACATACGATTGGTTTTTGTCTCACGGCTCGCAAGCACTGCCGGTAGAGTGACAGCACGTCTTTCTGAAGTCCAGATAATCTCACCATGATTTCGCAAACTGACGTTGGTGGTCGTGGAGAGATTGCGGCTGGCTGTGAACCAGCAGCCTTTGGAAGAACTGTGGCGAATAACACCCTAGTCCCGAAACAGTTAGTGCAACGGACACGATCTTGAGGCTGACGTCCATGATGCTTGCATCGCTGTTGTGACTGCCTTCAACCCCAATACCTCGAACCAAGACAAATTCCTGAATGCATGGCATTTGAATAAATCTTTGCGGATCCAATTGTTGTGCACTGTTCTCAAAACATGTACATGGGTCATTCAAGCTGGTAACAAGAAAATAAAGACTGACTCCTCTAACGCCAAATGCCATGACTGGGCAAAATGATCGGTGCCTACAACTGCGTCGCAACACAACCATTTGCTAGCAATCACAGTGCAACACGTGCTGCAAGAGTATTGCTCCCAAATTACTACCGCCAAAATACCAGACTAGGCGCTAGCGAACGCGCTCAGCTTAACCTTGATGTCGTGTGGCCACACAAACCATTGCTTGTGCAAATCCCACTCTTTGATAGGATCCTCAAGGTCAATCTGATTCACCATTAGCATAAACCCCGTGTATAAAGTTGTCATTGCCAGTCACAAAGCGACATACCTGGTATTTTCCAAACAAAGTTGCAACGACCTTGTACACCTCTACAAGAGCAAGCGCCTTACCAATGCAGACACGGTTGCCGCCTCCAAATGTCATGTCGGCATCTTTCATCTTCCGCATCCTAGCTTCGTAGCTGGCCACGTCTTCCTTCTCGCCACACAGCCAACGCTCTGGGCGGAATTCGTACGGTTTCTCTCCATACACGTCTTCTTTGTAGTGGATGACCCACGGATTCACGCCAACAATTGTGCCCGGCGGTAGGACAGTTCCATCGGCCAATGTGAGACCAGTAGAAGGCACAACTCGCTCAAAGAGTTGGCCGACGACGGGGTGCATGCGGAGACCTTCCTTAATGCAGGCATCAAGGTAGGGAAGCTGCTCAATGCTGCTGTAGGGGGTTGGGTAAGACAGTCGTGCAGAGTGCAGTTCTTGTACCAGACGCGTTTTGCAGGCAGGAGTTTTGAGAAGATGATAGAATATGCCTTTCATGACGATTGCGAGTGTGTCAGCTCCACCAAGCACCTACGCAGAAGGACCGTTAGTATTAGTGACTTGATCCAAGCGGGAGCTCGGCGTCTAGGAGTACTCCAACTACAACTTGATGAGGAAAATAGGACTCACATTGATAATCATGTATCCGATGACCTCATTGTCGGTAACAAGCTCGGGATGCTCCTTTTTTGCTTCGAGAAAGCCATTGAGAAAGTCGTTCCTGCCTTGACCGAGTTCAGGGTTTTGCATGCGCTCCATGAAACGCTCGACAGAGAAGCCAGCAGCGACGGAGAAGTCATCGAACTTGTACAGCGAACGAGGCCAATGTGGGTTTTTCCCAAGCCATTTGTCTAGAGCAGGGATTTGGCCGACCTGGATGGGATCAGCACTCACTCGAACATCATTTCGTAACGGAATCTAGGCCTTTGCGCACCACGGAGAAATAACGCATCACGCGCTCAGCAGTACCTATGCTTGAAGTTGACATGTCGAGTCAGCGTATATGTCACATCTACCTCGGCTCGTAAAGCTACTCACATATCACCAATGTCTTTGCCTTCGTCCATGAAGCCTATTCGCTTGCTCCAGGTCATGTCGCCGAGGAAATCCCAGGCGAAGAATGAGATCCAATCGGCAATGTCACAGGTTTTGGCTTTGTTGATGCCTTCAGTGAAGCGGGATTCCATACGAGCACACAAGACACGGAGATTTTCGTCCATGATGCTTTCGAGCTGAAGTGCATTCTGAAGACTGTACAACTTCTGGACGGGCTTGACCGTCTTAGCGTGGAACTCATTGCTGCGTGTGCTGAAGATATTTTGGATAATGTGGCCATCTTGAAGGGCATCATTGATGGTCCAAAGCACAGTCAGTACACTATTGTCATTTTCATTTCATGCACATGATTGAGCTTGTCTTACATAATAATCACTCTTTTGGAAAAGTCAGCGGTTGCACAAGTCCCATCTACACAGGGTTTTATGAGCTTACCTTCAAAAAGGTTCCACGGGTATTGTAGATCGTCTTGATTAGATTGGCATCTGCGATGCTGACCGTGTTGGGACCCAGTCGGACAACGTCACCATGCTGGTCGTGGAGCTTCCTCTGCGTCTCAATGTGGGTCTGGCCGTAATGGTTGAAGAAGCGCCAGATGTTGGAGAACTTGGCTAGGAACGGCCCGGGGATCTTCTTGAGTGGGGATTGGAGGTAGGCCAGAACGTATTGAGTGATGAGAAAGACAGTTCCCAGGCCAATTGCCTTTACGAGTAGCCCCACTAGTCCCATTGCTGTGTACACGCTGGATGTATCCTGCAGTGTGATCGGGACCGTGGTAAGGGATGAAACAGAGTTGCAAGGGCAGCTGAGAGATCGGGATCAAGGCGCTCTACATAAGAATAGAGACCCTCTGCTAACTATGCACATATTACTATACCTCGGGTGAGCTAGATAAGCCTGTGGGGCTAGCATCCCGTCTCTTCGCATGGCTGAATGGCATTCTTTCTCTTACAGTACAAAGGGCCGCATACCGCTGTGAGGTTGAAACGTCGCCACGCTCGCTTGAGAGGGAGGATGCATTACTTTTGCATGAGGCCCCACCATCCCAGTGCGCATTTAGTGATTGGCATGCCAGGGTTTGCCGACTTATGTCAAGTAGGCCGGTGCTCTCGGACGACACCCTAGACATTGCGGGACGGGGGGCAGTCTCTCCCGTGATTAATGGAGCTGACCAACGTCGCCAAGTCTGTTCCCAGATAGCAGATCCTCTGCCCCACTGTCAGGACAAGAAGAGGGTGTCTGCAATTATCGCGGCATTGAGCGACACGGGAGTGCAATTCTGCCAGACGACGCCTCCTTACTGCGCTCGCGCGTAGCTGGGGCCAAAAGCCACAAAAGCAAATAAGGACTGACCCAAGTTGGCCCCCCACCTGCATCCGCCCAAATGAAGACCCCCCAGTCGATGAAGCGCATACAACGGCCCGACGCGGGAGCTTCGCCTGTCGTGCTAACCCACAACTTGTAAGCAGGTTTCGACGCAAATCCACATGCTCACCCTCCCCCTCCTCCACCTCTCTTGACTAGCCAATCGTCACAGGCCCGCGGAATCAGCGACATGTGAAGCTATGCACTCGTGGCTCTTGTCTACTACGCCATCTGGTACCACGTTCGCTTAATAGACGTCGATTACCGAGTCCTCGAGATTGCGATTCACATAGTACATATGACAGGAGGCTTACGCTTGTCCTTGCCTTCAGCAGAGGATGTTATCTTTTGTATCACCGCGGCGGCACTAGGGTATACATAAGTAGTCAAAGATCTGCTGTACGAAGCCTCGGATCCTCTTCGTCCGTGTATTCTTTTTCTTCCAGCCCCCCCCATCTAGACACGGATCAGATACAGAGCTGGTGGCGACGCCAGCGCACCCCATCCAATTAATCGCCGTTCATAGCAGTTGTGTGTACGGAGCAAGGTGCTGTTTCAAGCTTCGCGTTAAGTGGAAAGAAGATTGACAGCAGCTTTGGGAAACGGTGCAGGCGATGCAGATGGGGTTGCTAGCACATCGCTTGTTTAGGGTACTTCACCGTCCACGCGTACCGGCTACACAAAGACGGCATAGCTAGTTGTCGCCAAAGCTTCCATGAAAATTGAGATTGGACGCAGCGCCCGGGGAAGCAGAACAGACATCCGGCGCTAGGTTTGATCCAAGCTGCAGGTGTCTGTCTCTCACATGGCTGCTGCCAAAAGGTTGGTCAGAAGCCCGAACGGTTGATCTCTTCCATGTCAAGCCACGCTTGGATTAAGTAACCGATTCCGTCTTTGAATCTTTGTGCAGCAGGATCCGAGCCACATCATCATAGGGTTTTTGACAGGGGTGCGAGAGGAATAGCGCAATAAGAAAAGCACCGCGTATGGCCCCGAAAATAGCCCAGGGTCAGATTCATTCGTCTCGCTTTTGAGGCTGCCACTTCTTCTGCCTGGAATGGGTGCTGGAGACCCAGCGATCAACCAGACCCTCGGAATTGTATGCAGATGCACTTTCTTCTTCAGCGTGGGCATCATCTTGATTGAAAGGAGACATAGAAACAGCGTCGCACTCCTGCTTTTTTGCCCACAAACGGACCGGTTCTCGACTATACAACCCATAGTCACAGGGGTTAAATTCTCTGTCTTGTCTCACTCATTTCTTGCACATACCGCCATAGCTTCAAGATAGCGCTTACTCAGGTTTCTCGTTTACTTCAAGACATATACCCTTTCACCCATTACTGGAGTCACACGGCAGCGTCTCACGCCAGCAGTGGGTCGTTAGACGAAGACAAACCAGCCCCATTTGCAGGCAAAACCACTGAGCCACTAGCGATCAAGATGGGCAAACCAACAGACTTTGCAGACATACTCAATGGGGTCATGTGGTTTCAGGTCTTTCTCGCCACCATCTTCATTGCACTGCGCCTCTATACACGACAGTGGATTGTACGAAATTTTGGATGGGACGATATCTTGATGTTGGTCAACTTGGTAAGTCAATCTTCTTATAACCTTCCCATGTCCATGAGGATCGCTTTCTGACTTTCATAGGCTACTTTTATAGGCTATGTAGCCTGCATTTCCATCGGGGTCAACTACGGAGTTGGGAAAAGGACGGCTGACATTATCCGTCTCGACCTTGACTACTCCAAAGCCATCATGTGGGAAGCGATAGGCCAGGGAATATGCATCATGGGAATCGCTGCCTCCAAAGGTTCGGTTGCGCTTTTCCTCTTACGCATCGTTGTCAAGCAGTGGCATGTCGGCATCCTCTGGTTTTGCATAGTAAGCACTACCATATTGTGCATCATTACAACGGCGCTCCTGTACGCCCAGTGTATACCTACAGCATTTCTATGGGATCACACAATTGAAGGTGGCCACTGTTGGCTCAACTTCACTCCAGTCGGTCTGACCATGGGTGCTTGGTCCGCGTCTATGGATTTTGTTCTTGCTATCCTTCGTAAGTCAATAACGAGTACGACACCAGTTCGAACACTGCTGACCCATCCCAGCCTGGCACGTTCTCATGGGCCTCAACATGAAGCACAAGGAGAAGATTACCATCGCATCCGGTCTTTCACTTGGCATCTTCGCTGGTGCATGCTCTATTGTTCGCACCATTGAGCTGCAGTCTCTTGCGTCCATGGAGAATTACGTGTACGACACTGCCAGCATGCTTCTTTGGTCATCTTCAGAAGTCTGCATGACCATTGTGTGCGCATGTATTCCCGTCCTCCGTCCCTTATATGTACGTGTCAAGTACGGCTCGCGCGGCGATTCGTCAAACAAGGACTCGTATCACCTCAAGGAATACTCCAAGTCAAAAAGCAGCCGTGGAGATGGGAGTCAACCTGGAAACAAGATATACATGGGTCCTGGCGAGAGCGTGCTGCAGACGACTGTCCGCATGGGCAGCGATGCTGCGAGTGAGGAGACTATTCTGAGAGATTGCAACGAATCGAGACACCATGCGAGCGCATGGGATCAGCTTTCAAGGACAAAAGAGCCGAAGGACATTCATGTTACCACGACGGTTACTTCAAGAGACGATTATGTTTGAGCGGAGAGACCGACACGAAATGGCATATGATCACTAGATTCTACAAAATTCAATAGACTTCGCATTACGCTCATCGCATACGTATCATAGGATTGTATTTTTGAATGAATTGTTTCCGACGCCCAAACTGCGTGCCGATTCCGAAAGATCTGCCGCATACTTACTCAATCCCAATCCAGTGGTCTGCATATCGCCGACAATTCCCTCCACAGGATATGTAGCATGAGGTCTTGATCGGTGTGCGATGTGTATGGTATTGCCGAAATGAAGCCGTCGCCAGCGCGAGTGCCGTACCTCTCACGCCATCCTTTCGGCGAACTGCTCCGCTCCAGAAAACTGTTAAGCCCACATAATCAGCAAGTCATCGAAGAGGGTATCGCCCCGTAGATCATGTTCTTATTGCGCGCGTAAGATGTCCTTTTTCCACGCTCGCGTTTATAAAAATTGCTTTCCTCACATATCCACTGCAGCAAAGAAAAGCATTTTCAATGCCATTTGACTTTCCCATCATGGCCTGGCCAGGTAAGGTAGAATGGTATACTTTCCTTTTTCATCAGGGCTTGAGTCGGTGTCGTGTGGTAGAAGACGGCGTTTCAACACTGGTCTACGGCCCCGCACTTCGCGCCCGAGGAGGGGTCCCCCCCGCAAACATCGTTGGCTGTCTAGCACACGAGACTCAAGCCCTTACAACGGAAACCTGCCTAGTTATTTCTTTTGCCCACAGTGTAAGCGAAAGGCATTTCACAACGGCGATCAAAAAAAGAAGGTCTCAAGCTTGTGCGCCTGCTTCTATTGAAGACGATCGATATCAAACGAGCAGCAGCCTCCGACGCAGGGACAAAATAAGGAAATCCGCAAAGAGGGGAAATGTCAAAGAGATGCTTAGCGGATTGACGACTTGGACTAAGCAATGCTACATGATTTTCACACACACAAAAAGCAACTAGTAAGGGTTGCTTAGTTGCATACAGGACTTCGCACGCAAAGGAATATAGAATGAGACGACTAGTGGACTCTAACAGATGCTGTCTCTTCTTCCGCGGCTCAAGAAACGGCAAAGATGTACATGCCCACCACTTTATACCTACATGCTAAGTTGAATAGCCCAACCGATCTTGGTACCCACACTGAAGTGAGTAGCAGCTGTGTTCATTTCGCCTCTTTCCCGTTCAGCTTTCCAAGCTTGATATGATAATATGACCATGAGTATAGGGGTACAACCTCATTCTCTCCCCTGCAACTCCCTTCACGTGTTGTACACATGGAGCGGTTGGATGGTGTGGGACTGGTCACTAAAGGTATGTGGATTTCATGCTCGGGAGTCGGACTCTGTTCCTCGTCTACGCCGGGATCGATGGTGGTCGACAAAGATGGTGGTCGTTTTTCTGTGCAGCTGTCAGCAAGACTTGCCTCTAACTACCTACATAGGTAATAAGCCGAGGCGCTACAAGGCCTTATTCGTCACCCTCGAAAGTTCTTTCGGCAGACTTACTGTTACTCAACTGCCGTCGAGTCTCTATGATCTCGGACAGCGGAAGGTACGGACCCCACTTAGGAGTAAACCTAGTTTCCGCAACCGGTTCTTTTGCGACACTACTATCAGGGTCGGGTTGGTCGTAAATGGAGTCCCGCCGAATTTTCAGTTCAGTGCCGCAACTAGGATCTGCAGCTTCGTTGTTGGTGAAATCATCAATTCTCGCTGGGTATGATTCATCCTCAGAAACAAACTCGAAGTGAGTGCCCATTAAGCCAAGTTCAATCGAGTCGATGCGTTTCTTTGCATTCGGTGGCTGGGGATTCCCCTGGCTACTTTGGCGATAGTGAGCTTCACGTGCCTCAACTCTATCCCACCTCAAGTCCGACTCCTCACTTCGTGTGGGCATGATGTCTACAGACTTTGTATTGTGGCACGGAGTACGAACGTGTGGTGGTGGTTAAGTGTAGGGTAAGAAGAACTGACAAAAAGAGCAAGGCGATGGCGAGGGTCTTTTTGCTGGCCCGGAAGGTGCAGTGTCTCTGAGAACGGATGAGCTGACAGTTTTGCATTTGTCTTTGACTTCACCCGAAATAGCGACCAAATAAAAGGATCTAAATACAAAGTATAGTCTACACAGTGTGCGAAAAGACCTTGCTTCGCATGCATAGCCTCCGTGTCCACGTCAACATGTACCAATACGCATCTTGGTCGAAATTATTACAAAGAAGCAAGATAAAGAAAAAGTACAGACTCGGACTGGCCGTTACTCGTAACCAAACCTTCGGGCCAGAGCCCTACGCCCCTTGGTCGCCTTGAAGCTGCACGGCAAGACACGCTGGCACAAATAACGACGAGATGATGCTACGCTAAAGCTATACATCCGTCGGGTATGGGCCTTGCTAGACGGCCAACTCTGAGTGGCAATCATGGCGCCCGCGAAGTCGTGCAATTCCTAACTACGCAAGCCCAGTACGCCACCATCGCAAGTTCGCTGATTCGTTACTCATCATCAAAACATACTTTACGTACTATTTTCGACCAACTAAAACATGTTCCAAACAGCTGAACATCTGTTTTGTGTTCATGAGGTACGGTCGATAACTGATGGCTTTAGCCGCTTCTCCGATCCAAGACAAATGGGATGGAGGGCAGCATCGGTTACGGCCTTTAAGCCGGTATTATCTAAACCGTGTGACGGAGAAGTTAACCAGCTGAGAACGACTTTGACACATTGACACCATGCGTCGGTGATTCCGCACACGCTAACAGCTACTGCAATCCTGAGCGATTGACATATGCAAGGCTGTAGCAAGACCGAGACATGTCATGCAGGCCGGAGGCCCAAGAACCAAACGTTCGGGTTTGGCGGCTACAAAAGCGGGGTGCCCATGCAATCTCTCTACATAACGTTTTATGAAATCCCTCATTGGCTTTTGGCAGTCTCAAAGCTTAATAGCATTGTGGTACAAGAACGTTGGTGATAGCGGACAGATCCGAGGCTTGGAGCGTTTACGGCAGGTCTGAAGTAAGTAGGCGGGGGTGTACAGTCAGCCGCAGTCACCTCTCCAATCATACCCCTGCCAATAAATGTACCGTGTACAAGAGAAACGTCATAGTTTTGCAATCACCATGTCTTGACCGGTTGTCCCCCCCTCTACGGTGTACCGGTTTCCAATATCAAGGACTGGGCACTTCACTAGCGGCGGCTATCCGAGCTAAAGAGTCTGACCGGTTCAGCCATGTAAGTAAGCATTCTGCGCTAGAGACGAAGAGGGGTCACCATCACGACTTAATCTAGTTTTGCGGCTTATGCACAGGAAAGAAGCATGTGAAAGGCCTTGATATTTATCACCCGGCTTATTCATCTTCATTCTACCAAGACTTTCCGCACGCCCGTTCGAAACAAAAGTCAAGTCAGGTAGATGCCCAGAGCCGATTGGTGAGATGGAAAATGGTCATTTGTGAAATTGATAGAGGCGGAGCCACCGGGAGGCATACACGGTTCGGCAGATGATGCACTCCCCGCACCCATAATAGAGATTACGGACTTGTTATCTAAAAACCGACTGTATTGTCTTTATGAAAAATGCGATTCTGATTGTGCAAACTCAAATTACCAACTCGGTATCTGGGCACAGCGGAAAGCGCGGCTAAGTTCGACTCTATCCTCTAATTGGTCATTGGTCAATGCAGCCTCCAAGGCTGATAGTGAACACTTGTTGGTATTTGACCGATCAAAATATAGAGCCTAGTATCGCATGTCGCTACTACGGGATTCTGCTTAAAGGAATGTCATCATGCGGCTCCGCCATTGTCACAGTCTTGTTGTCAGTTCTGAATGAAAGTGGCAAAAGAGACTATTATTCACCATTAGCCTCTGCCGGGGTACTCTGGTTGTGGCTCGCATAACTCCAACCTAAGTGTACCAGATCGTTTGTAGTCTTAGATAATTACGCAGAGCATAAGATGTAAACAAAAACTCGGTTTAGGAAACTTTACCAGCAAACGTCAGCCGTCAGATATATCTCTGGATGTTTATGCACAAGATTGCCAACTGGGCTTAGTTATACCGCATGAGGCATTATTGCACTAAGCCATTCCGTCTGGCAATTTCTTCCACGTATTGATATAGCACTGAATTCATAAAGCATCCATGGCAATGAGTTTGATGTATCTAAGTTTTATCACCACTTATGCGTTTGGAAGATATTTCTAACACATGCATATGCAGAAAAATACCTTCTAATGATGGCCAATCCGGTACTCTTTCTACTTTGCCTTTGCCCCTTGTCTGAAGAGCAGCTTAGATAGATAGACTATGTGTCCATAGGCTAAGTTCAGCACAGTACCAAACTTCATTCAACATCCAAGATAGAACTAGGCACGGGGTATTCGTATAGATTGGGAAATACTAGATAGTGTAACTATTTACATTCCAGATCACACACCCGAAAGCTCATACCCGGTCGTTTCTCTTAGCAGATCTTGTAGTAGTCAGGACCGCCCGCCCCCTGGCAGAGCGAGACGGGCCTGCAAACACCCTTGCTCCACTCGGAACCCCACTGCTGCACACACTTCTCGTTGTTGAAGATCGTGTTCATGGCGGGGGTGCTTGAGGTACCTGGGAAACACTAAATAGACTCTTGATTAGAACAGGTACTGTGATGATATGGGACCACATGGGAGAAAGTGATGGAGAGAGAAAAGGCATAGTGATGATAGACAAGCTAAAGATTTAGACTTACCCACTCGCCTGGGCCACGGAGTGAGCCTCTCATGAGTTGGCAGAGTCCAGAAGCCCTGGTTGTTCCAGCGGAATTCTGGCAGGTAGACTCCTGCCCCTGAATAGGGAATTCCCCGTTTCAGGTTTGATAGCTGCTTTCTAATAAGAATGGTAGGATCTAAGGGATATTTCTTACGCTGCCTGGGAGGAAGGCAGAGCGGCAGGCAGAACAACAAGAGTGACGAAGAAAGCCTTCATGATAACTAGTAATGTCGTTTGAAAGTAAATGAGGTTACTTTCGGCTTGTATAATTAGTACAGGTGAGTGGTGAAGAAAAACGAAACATATTTCGAGTTAACTATCTACGTGTATATATACATATTTCCCGCATACATCTCCATTGCTGATTCTCTGGATTCATGTTGAGCCGTTTTCATCATCCGATGCATGGTTATCTGTAGCTTCTTGGGTGCGCTCCACTTATGCTTGCATGTGTTATTAAGATTCCATATTTTAACATCGTGGAGCAACCTCAGAAGCATGTTTACCCGGAGTATTCGGCCAAGATTATCCTTTCTTAGTCGTGCTCCTCTTCTCAGGGCTTGGTTGTCAGGTGAAGCGGTTGTTCAAAGCGGCTTGGACACCGAGCATAGTCCCATCATGATAAGAAACCCAGAGTCAACCCCAGATTCTAAGACCCGTTGCCTCACAGAAACAAGCTAGGATACGCGCGATGCCGAGAAAAATTCAGTATGATGATACTGGCTTGCCACAAGGGCGAAGCGAAACACCACTGTGTCCGTACTGCTTGCTCCACTGCAAATTCTAGTCCCGCGTAGTGGCTTGTATGCTCCTCCATAACACCAACCCCATAACTAATCAAGACCGAGAAGTGCGCATTTGAGTTGTTTCATGGAAGTTCCAAGTGAAGAATTCGCTGCTGCACTCATCGCCCTGAATCCACACTACAGACTTGTTACGCAATGCAAACCAATACCACATAGTGGTGTAACATGACTAGGAAGTGCCTCGCATAAAACCAATTTTCGAGCTGCCAAAATTGAGCAAAGGTCGGCACTTACTCCTACGAAAGCATACATTTCCATCATTACCGTCTTGAATAAGCCGGACTAGAACGCTCTCTGGATCGGACATCAGGAGATTGGGTCGGCGTATAGCAATCTGCCGTCACGTAAGTTAGTCTCAGTCGCATTTGAGAAAGTAACAACTTCCCCCTTTCTGCATCCCTCCCATGCTTGCATCGTCAGACCGCGTTGCTATATGTGCTCGGCACAGTCCTTACTTGAACAGGCCCCAAATGTGCTCAAAAGTACCAGCTTTACTACCTCATGATTGGCTCGGACCTCAGTTCTCCGCGCATTGACAGCCTGCGAAAGGATCTTCCGCCCAAATATGACCTGCATGACCAGTATTGGATAGCTGTAAGCGACCGTTGGACGATCTTGGGCACAGTACGGGTCTAACCGCAATTTGCGCTTGTGCCGTGCGACCTGTTCCCATTGCCAAGGTACTCGAGTGAGTGAACATCTGCAAGGTATTCAGTCCTGTAATGGATTTCAGAATACACTCTTGCTTCCACGGTCTCCAAGCGAATTCGTGTTCTGTGCTTCCAACATTGCGTGTCTCGATATAAACTGCATCTATCAACTTCGCAGTAGGTCCCGGCTGCTTACTGTTGGCAAAGTACTAGAGAGATCTATACTTCATATCCTCTTAGTATCAAGACAGTAGCTGACTAAACGAGGGCATTGTGATTCCCTTTCGAATGCAAATCTGCTCCAGGAGTTGATGATGGTGTATGCTGAAGCTTTACCTCTCCTTCCTCGTACTCGAAAAGTACTCGATACACAACCACTTTTTTTCTTTTTTTTTCTTTTTTTTTCTTTACAAATTCGGTGATCACCATGAAAGCAGGAACATTTCACAAGCACGCTGTGTGCTGCTATTCGAGATCCCTCTCTTAATGTCTAGCTCAAGCCATAGTTCCGCGCTGACTATTGACTCCTCTAGGATGTACCTAGCTGAATGAAACAGGTACGTGAAAAGAGGTTTCATTGTTCTTGCACAACCTTTGTTCAACTGTGCAATAATTTTGATCCCGATTTTACGCGAAATGAACCAAGACATTGCCTGTATCTCTGACATTACAATCATGATCATGCTTTACATCTTGATTTGTTTAGTATTCCGATAAATTACATATGCGGCTAAGCCGCCGCACATGTACATGAGAGAGCGTTGGCATTTAGTCACTGTCTAGATCCCGCTTCAGTACCTGCCTGAACTAGTCACTGACCTGCTGTCTGGTGGATGTTTTCGGTAGTAGGGCCTTAAATTAATTCGTGTATATGTAAGGATATACTAGGCATATTAGGCAGAGGGCACGCCAGTGCAGTGGCTTCGCAGTACTTGGCTCTCTCCTCAGTAGAGAGGATCTTAACTTAGCGCAGAAGGATTACAATAGCTGAACCTACAGATAGAAATATCATGTATGCGACACAATGTGCGAGGGCAGACTAGGTTTTAGAGCGCAAGGATTAATTACACGCAAAACAAAGCACACTTCGCCATCTTCTGCCCACTTTCCGTCTAAAGGAGTTGCACTCGTGATTTTTTGCAAGGCTGATTCAGGATTATCATTTACTTAATCATGTATTGTAATAGCGGAATCGTCATTCTGCCTTCGTTTCGACTTTAAATATCATCAGAGATGGGGCTCAGGCCCTGGGCAGTGCCGAGTTAATCCTTAAACCACAATCCCAATCGCTCAATTCTGTATCGATCGGACATCCATTCGCGGAAATAGGTGGTATTTGTTCCTGGCATCTCAAGGATAGGAGGATATACCTGAGGAGGGTGAACATCGCTCCTCACAGGCCACGAGCCTCGGGTTGATTGCCATTACTTAGTGAGCATGTAGTTATGGAGCAGCTTTGCTCCCTCTGGTTGTGGCTCGTCTTTGAGAATGGCAGCAAGCTGGAACCAGGTCACGAAGGAGCCCTTGACTGGGTGGCTGATCTTGATGTTTGAGGTTGGGAAGAGGCCGTCTGATGTGAATGAGGCGGCGCGCGTCGAGTTCTTGGCTTTCATGATTGTGTCGGGGGAGCGAGTGCCACTGACCCAGCGGGGGTTTTGCTTGAGGTGCTTTTAGAACCTAGACTTGCCGTACTGTTGCATACTGTTCTTTTTTTAGTCGTCTTTTCTTTCAAAACGCTTGTGGAATGAAGTTTACATCAGATCAAAAGCGTACAACACCGCATCATCATCGTTAGGGTAAGTCAAGACAAGCTTGTCCTTGAACTCCGGCCTCAACCGATCCCCCCACTCAACTGGCGCCTGAATGCCAGGCAACTTGTCAGTGTTCCACTTGACCGCCTATCCTACTGTAAGAATGCCGTAAAATGCGGCACGCACATCCTTCATCGGAACATAAACTTTGTCAAGTCCCACAGGGAATCGCTTCTCGAATTCATTCTTCGGTACTTCGTCGGTGCGCTCATCGCCGCCGAGCCACATTATAACGACGCCACCTTCACCGAGAGCGGCCTTATAGATTTCATCATTTAAACAAGTCTCGACAACGGCGGCTCTATTAAACCCTAGCAGTTAGTCATACGCTATTATACGGCTCGCTGGTACAGCGGCCGCTGCGAGAAAGGAATAGAGCATTATTTATAAAGGAAGCGGAGGGCAGAGAGAATAAAGAAGCTGCGTTGTTAATAAAAGTTAGCCCTTAGAACTAAGGCTTTATAAATACTTAAGAATAATTACTTAGTATTTATAATAACTTAGTTAAGTTATACTAATAAATAGTTTAAAATTTAATAAGAACCTTCTTATAAGGTTCTTAAATAGTCTATATAAAATCTAAATTAGTCTATTTTTAATATATTATAGAAAATATTCTATTTACTTATCTATAGAGTAGTATTATAGCTCTGGCCTTTTAGGAACGTGTTTATAGAATAAAATTTTAAGATTTATTAGAACTAGTTATATA